TGCCTCCCGAGTGCTGGGATTAAAGGCGTGCACCACCATGCCTGGCTAAAAAAATTTTTTTAAATATGAAACTGTAAGTACAGAAAGACATGAGTTTTTTTGTATGTTATTGAATTTTTGTATATTTTATATATTTTAATCATATTTAGATCTCCCTATCTGGACCCCCTGCCCATAGCCCACCCACAGGATTTCACTCGTTCTGTCATATTTGTTAACCTGTCAAGTCAAGTAGGAGGCTTCAGCCTTAGCAGAAGAACTATTGGCAGCTGATTACTGCTGGATGAGGGAGAGTTGATCTTTATTGGGAATGATGCTAGTTAGGCTGAACAGGCTCCAGCAGATGAACTCACACCCAGAGACAGCTGGGTACACAAATGAAAATACTTTTATAATAATACTTAATGGGGAAGCATATGTCTCAAAACCTAAACTTTTAACTATGTATTTCAAATTCTGAATAGCAAAAAGAGACAGATTACAAAAATTGAGGTATAAAAAAGTTAGGCTAGGCATGGTGGCGCACATCTTTAATCCCAGCACTCCAGAAGCAGAGGCAGGCTGAGGTCAGCCTGGTTTGCAAAACAAGTTTCAGGTCAATTGGGGCTATAGGAAGACCCTGTCTCTAAAAAACAAAAAACGGGCTGGAGAGACGGCTCAGTGGTTAAGAGCACTGGTTGTTCTTGCAGAAGACCTGGGTTCTAATCCCAGCACCCACATGGCAGCTAACAACTATCTGTAACTCCAGTTCCAGGGGATTCAACAGCCTCTTCTGACCTCCGTGGGCATTGCATGACACGGGTGCATTTACCTATATGCAGGCAATACATGCATACACATAAAAATAATAAGATATTTTTTAAAAAACAAAACAGAAAAAGTTAAAATACAATGAAAAAAACCTAAGAAAAACTAGAAATGTATAAGACAAAAGTTTAATGATCTTTAACAGATAAGGAAAAAAATACTACATGTACACAGTTGGCAAAATATAAGGAAATTCTAAAAGAAATTCAAACCATCATAGATATTTGAGAGTGATAGATTGATAGAGAGCCTGATAAGGAGTCCTCTTGGTAAGGTACAAGTGATAAATGAGTGGCAAATAAGAAATGGCAAGACTGATTTGCTCTATTTTTAAAGATTTTGCATACATATACTCCACTGTATTTCAACTTTATTTGTAAAATCAGAAAATCCAACACTTGCCCTGGCTATGCTTTCAGGGAGTATCAGAGGTCATCATAAGTCATAGTGTAGCTAGTATGGGAAGATAGTGCAGGGGAGGAGAGCAGATTCCAGACAGCAAGTATTCATGCACAGTTGCAAACATATACATGAGAGGTGCCATGTCCTGTTTATTCCTGGTAAGATTAAGGTGGTGAGGATTTTTCCATTTTACAGTTTTGTGTTCTGACTATTGCTGAGATACAAAACAGGCATGTAGTCAGATGATGCTGGTGGATCACTGCAGCTTCAGTGATTCCAACCACACTTGCTTCAGATGTCTTCATAATCTTTGGTTCTTTTTTTAAAAAATATTTTATTGGGCCAGGCGTGGTGGTCCACGCCTTTAATCCCAACACTTGGGAGGCAGAGGCAGGCGGATCTCTGTGAGTTCAAGGCCAGCCTGGTCTACATAGTGAGTTCCAGGACAGCTAGGGCTACAGGGAGACCCTGTCTCAAAAAGACCAAAAAAAACCCCAATTTTTAAAAAAATTATTTTTATTTTATGTGTATGAGTATATTGCCTGCATGTGAGTAAGTGCACCTGTGTCATGCAGTGCCTGTGTACCTGAAAAGAGGGCATCAGATCCCCTGGAACTGGTTGTTAGCCACCATGTGGTGTTGGGAATCGAACACAGGTCCTCTTCAAGAACAGCCAGTGCTCTTAACTGCTGAGCCATCTCTTCAGGCCCTTTTTTTTTTTTTTTGTCTTTTTTGAGACAGGATCTCCTTGTAGCCCCAAGTGTCCTGGAACTCACTATGTAGACCAGACTGGCCTCAAACTCACAAAGATCTGCCTGCCTCTGCCTCCCAAGTGCTGGGATTAAAGGCATGCGCCACCACGCATGGCAATCTTTGATTCTTAAAATGCTTAGGGCCCTAAATACTCTTCTCAATCCCAGTTCCCTCTCCTTGCTCAGAATTATTTTTTCAACATTAAACATCTGTAAAAATTAAGTGTTTTTTTTTAATTAAAAAAAAAAAGTGTGTGCATTCTATCTCAAGGATGGTGTGTGCCATGGCATATGTGTGGTCAGAGGACAACTTCATGAAGTCTGTTTTCTCCTTCTACCTTTATGTGGGTTCTTGGTGGCAAGCACCTTTCCAGGTGAGCCATACTGATGGTCCAAAATTAAAATGCTTTAAAAATGCAAAGGTAATACTGTAAATATGCTAACATTATTGTTAGGGAGCCATTTAGATCATAACAAATAGTTACTGATTACATTTCTTTTCTGTAACACTTAAGCCTGAGTAGCAACCTGGAGAGAAACAAAAAGTTTTATCATGTGTAATTTAAGAAATGAGTATATTACATCTATATGGATATGCAGTTATTTCAATTTTTTAAATAAAAGCATTGCTTTACTGGAATTAATGACTTCAATCCTGGTAAATATACCATTTTTAGAAATTTCCAAATTGAAAAATGGGTAATTTTATGATAATTGGAAGATTTTTTTTTTTTTTTTTTTTTTTTCTTTTTGAGACAGGGTCTCCCTATAGCCCCAGCTGTCCTGGAACTCACTATGTAGACCAGGCTGGCCTTGAATTCACAGAGATCCGCCTGCCTCTGCCTCCTGAGTGCTGGGATTAAAGGTGTGCGCTGCCACGCCCAGCCTAGAAGAATTATTAAATATAACATGGAAACACATTATTTGGGGCCTGTGAGATGGCTCAACTAGTAGAGGTGCTTGGGTGCGGACTTGACAAATCTGAGCTTCAATCCTTGAATCCCACAAAGTGGAAGGAGAGAATTGACTACCAGGAGTTACCACACATGCACACAGACACACAATTACATTTTTTCTTTTTTTCTTTTTTTTTTTTTTTTTTTTTTTTTTTTTTTGTCTTTTTGGAGACAGGGTCTCCCTGGAGCCCCAGCTGGTCTGGAACTAGCTATGTAGACCAGGCTGTTCTTAAACTAACAGAGATCGGCCTGCCTCTGCCTCCCGAGTGCTGGGATTAAAAGCATGTACCACCATGCCCAGCTACAATTATATCTTTTAAAATCAAATACATATTTTTATTTTCCTAGGACACTAAAGGACTCAGCAAAAAAAGAAAAATGTATGACGATAAACCATTATCATCTGAGTCATCATCAGAGTCAGATTATATTGAAGAGGTGAGTGAAAGAAATCAAAGCAATTCATTTTAACATTTTATTATAATGTCATTCTGGTTATATGAAAGAGGCAAGTGTGGCAAATTGAAACTCAGCCATTGTCTACATAGTTAAAATAGAGCAATTGCACCTGCTATCCCTCTCCTTTTGTTTTAAACTTATTACTTAGGGTCTGCCAAGGGAGCTGGTTTTCCTGATTCTGGCTCCTTTCTAGGCTGTCCTCTGGCTTCCAGCCTGCCCTGCTCTGCCTCTGTCTATCCTGTTCCTTATCTCTGTGCTCCTTCACATTTTCCATCTTGTTTATACCTG